ATGAGTGATATGCAGAGGTGGCAGAAGTACCGAAGTCCTGTACTTATAAAGTAATCTGGTAAAAAAAAATGATCTTGTAAAAGTTGAAGCATGGTCTACATTTTTTCACTCAATGAAAAGTATATAAAGTAATAAAGTAATAAAGTAAAAACTGTTTCTGATTCAACTTTGGAAACGGGGTCTTCTTTACTGAGTGTGAATAAAGCAATAAGCCACAAGAGGCCATGCGTTACTGAGATATCATCACAGGAAGCGTGTTCTTCGGCACGGCACAGAGGGGAATAACACTCCTTTCCCCATGAACTTTTCAACTTCTGTCATATAACAGTGAACATATGATAACACAGCACTGTTTCATACAGAAAATTTCGCTTTATAAGTACTTTTTGGTCACCAAATTATCACCACGAGTCTTATTTAGCACCAATCCAGCGGCGCCCCTCTTCTCACACTGGGGCTGAATCTCAAACGGCTCCCAGCTCCCTACATAGTGCACTACGTAGGAGTTAAATACTGGATCCTGCAGCTCAACAGAGCAAAATACAGCTTAGAAACAGTCATTTGGGATTCAGACTCATCAACACTCAATAAATGATGCACTGTTTGGCTGTAGAGGCTAGAATTTCTGAACTTTCATAGCTAGAACACTATTTAGGGAGTACAGAGCCGTTTGGGATTCAGCCTGGGTTCTGTATGAAAGCACGGACATTTGACGTATGTAAAACATTCAAGTGACGTTTTTAGACTTTTATACTTCAGTTCTACAGTTAATCACTGTAAGTGCTTTAATTCAAGTCTGTGATATTAATGATGGAGGTGTTTAGGCTGTTGGCTCTTTTAGCCTGTTAGCTATCTGACCAGCCCAGTTCTAGTTAAGAACATAAGCTGTCAGCCCGTCAGTTTAAACAGAAAACAGGTTCTTACTTCATCAGTACAGTCGGTGGTCCATGCGAGCAGCATTAAAGTCAAAGATTAATCCATTAACAGCAGGAGGGTTTTTGTGCCGCGGCGCAGTTATACAGAGTTTAGCTTTTGTGAGGCGTCGTAGTTGTGAGTATATTGTGGATTTTACAATGGCATTGAATGCGGCTCAGCCAATCAGATTTTAGGAAACTATCTGTTTTATAATTAGATGTAAACAGTGAAAATGCTGTGATGTTCATGCATTGTGAGGGAAGATGCTTGATGTGTGAAAGCCTTCAGTATAGACTGGTCACCATGTTTTCATATATTTAAATGATCCCAACTTGTTGTCTTTCGTCTGTTATTCCTGATAATACTGTCATTCAGCTCAGGCCTGTCACTCACGGGTTCATCTGAGTTTGTGGGCGTTCGATGAGGAAATCTAATTCAAGAGAGGAATCAATCCTGTGGAGCATACAAGGACAGTGGTCAACTGCCCTTTGCATAAATTGACATATTGATCATGTTTTGCATGTGTTTTGCACATGCTGAGGTCAAGGCTGGTGTTAATATTGATTAATGGCGTGTCATCATTCTTCCATTCCTCCCCTTTACCCCAAATGTAGATGATCAGCCGAGACACACTGGTGTCTGAAGTTTGTTTCTTTAGTTTTGCAGTGGAGCTACGAGGATAATGTAGCTAACGAGTAACGGAAGCTTATGTCCCACCAGTTAGCGTGGTGCTAAGTATCTCAGATGTGCCTCAAACTGTGTGTAGTTGCTCAGTAATCTCTGATAGACTTGTTTAAGTGGTTTCTGACACTGTATGGTATGATATACAGGGAGATTCACTCGAAAGAGGCCCCGAATATTCAGTTGTAACCCCCGTTAGGATGAAGCAATCTGAACCAAAAAAATACGCTACATACCTTGATGTTTGTGTAATTGATTACATTTTTGGACGGCCTCTGCCATGAGAAGGGATCAATGATCCTGTTGTCTCCAGTTTCCGTACCATCTTCTGAATAACACTCTTTGAGGGTTCGTCACAAACAGCACATTTCTACCTAAATTCACTCTGACATCGCTTAAATGAATTGGTGACCCAGTAGGTTCGCACCATGAAGACGCACTGCTCAATACTGTACACCACCACCCTAATGAGAAGTCGAGTGAAAGGGTATGGGTGTATGCACCTAAGCTGCAAACAGAGGTTAAACATCGTGGCGGCTATCCAGTGCCTACCTCATCGCTCTGATGCAGGAGCATCCAGGCTTGGTCGAAGCTCCATATACTGAGGACTATGTTGCACATTGTTTTGTTCAGATTGCTTCATCCTAGCAAGAGTTATTACAGAATATTCGGGGCCTCTTTCAAGTGAATCTCCCTGTATATCTATGAACATAAAAAGAGTATGAAAAAACTCAGGCTTAACGGGTCCATATCATGGAAAAATTACATTAAAAAAAGATTTTTATATGGTATATACACATTGTTTGCATTTTCTAAATGTAGTCCAAACAGTCCATATATGGATTATAAAAGCCAGAGTTAAAAACACATTCCAGACAACTATCTTGGACTTCAGACTAAAATCCTTTTGATTTGAGTGACCCTAAACCTTAATTATGTTCATTTTATTAACTCGAATGATCAATCATTTCATTTTGTCTCTAATAATCATGTCACTACGAAACTTTACCAAATGTGTCAGTAGTGAGTGTTTCGGGGGTGACAATTTTAGCCCATTTTGAGCAGAACTCAAAAACGCAGCCAGTACATGACCAGCAAACACAGCTTTGGACAGCTGTTCACACAGAAAATCATAAATTTACATTAAAACACAACAAAATTTACTTAATTGCAGAGAATCTGTATTTCAGTATTGACTTAATTCTTAATGTTTCACACTGGTTTTCAGACTTTGGGACACATTTACTTCAAAACAGTGGGATCTAACTGCTCACCATGTGGCCATGAGGGACAGGGATGCAGCCTCACTTCCTGCTCTAATATACAGGGGCATGGCTAAAATAAGGCCCCGCCTACAGACAAAAACTCTTTGTGTTTCAGTGACATGAAAAACGTGGGGCAGCAAGTTTTTTATTAAATGATTAAACTCATATTAAATCTAAATCTTTCATCTTCTCTTTGAAATAAATCAATCTTTTTAAAATAACATTGAAATGCAAAAAAAAAAGTTTAAATAGATCAGAGAATAATCCTTGTAAATATCTAAGATCTGAATATTTTATTGTTTTTAAATATTTTTTTTCTTTTAAATACTGTAGGAGCGCAGTTTGAATGCTCCATATAGAACCTAAGCCAAAAAACAGCATACTTTGAATTCACAAAAAACAAACGCATCCACATAAATCATAAATTAGCCTATTCGGCCTACAGCGTTTTTTCCCAGTCGTTCACACTGAAGTTATAAGGAGTGTTTCAGCCTGGACATCTTTTTGAAGGAGGAACAATAAAGGACAGCCAATCAGAACAGCTCATTTGCAGATATCAGCCTTAAAATAACAAAAACGGCCTGGTTAATTCTAAGTAATAAAGCAAGGTTGGAAAATAGCCATGTAAAAATATATTTTAAGTGTTTTGGGCACATAGAACCACACAAACGTTATTTGGACCTTAAAGAAAAAAATAAAATGCAAGAAAATTGTTGGATGTTGCTGCTTTTAAAAGGCCACTACTGTTTAAAGCTGTGCAGCACAGTAAGTTTGATATTTTGCTGAACTGTTGCTTTAAGAATCGTTTTTGCAGGTGTGACTTCAGCAAAATGAACAGACGTCTATTAAAGAGCTTTAAGACCGACATAAACGCTTTGTCTGCTTTTATACGTGTTCATCGATTTCTGAGCTGTGAAGACAGTTTGATGGAGTTAGTCCAGCATAGATCAGCTCTCTGAGGCTGATTAGCATTAGCATAGTGAATGACATTTCCCCTCTTACTGTGCAGCAGATGAGCTGTTGTTGGTGCTGATTATAGCCCTAGTATTTACACTAACTGGCTTATCTGATCAGTCCTTCATTACACGGCCTGTATCTGCATTTTTCTTCTATTTTAGTCTTTTCTTCTCGAGGTCCAGTTATAACACCGCTGTGGTTTTTATGTAATTCATTTCTACGTGACCATTTCCATCCTCTCTTTATCCCGTACAGCAGGGGTGTCAAACTCAACCACTAAAAGGGCTGCATTAAAAAATCTGAGTAAATCTGAGGGTCAGTTGTGTTTTTATTTCATTTCATTTATTTTGCCACGACCCCAAAGGGCCATTGTTTATTCAAAATATGCCAAAACTGCAACAGCAAAATAGGCATTGAATACATATTCAAAAATAATTCCAAATAAAAATTAATTGTTTGTTTTTAAAACTGTCTGTTTGCTCGAACTGGACACCAGGCATCTTTTCTTTTTGCGTAACTGCTGGCCCATAGATTGTTGTTGGTGGAGGGTCAGAACACACACTGTGTTGCAGTGCATACTGGGGACTGCAGTGCATCTCAGGGTTAAATGGGCTAGTAAGAATAGAAAATTAAAAGAATTTTGTATGCTGAATAGAACTGTATCACGGGCCTGACCTGGCCTGTGGGCCTTGTGTTCGACACCTGGGCCTTACACCCTTAAAAAGATGGTTCTTCAAGGGTTCTTTAGTAAAGGAAACGGTTCTGTTTATAACCATGGATTCTGTATGGGATATTTGGCGTGTTTAAATGGTTCTTTGCATTGTGAAATTGTTCTTCAGACTGAAGGAGAACAGTTGTATGTGGTTCTATAGGAACCTTGAAAATGGTTCTGTATAGTACCAAAGAAGGGTTCTGCTACTGTAACACATATTGCTGTTTCATTATTGCACCATTCTTACATTTCATAATCATTTCATAATCCCATAGAGAAGTCTGGAATTTGGGTTCAATGCTTCATTGCCAGTTGTAGTTAAGAGGTCTTTTAATGGAAGCACGCTGCCCCCTGCTGGAAAAGCAGGCATATTACAGTACAGTTTTCTGCATTTCTTAACTTTTGCACATATTTAAGCACATTTTGATTTCTTTAACTGCATTTGACCTGTTTTTTTCTCTTCCTTTCAGGTTATGGACACATTGTCCAAGCTGTCGAACACCTCGATCGCACTGCAGACTGGAATAAAGTGAGTCTGTAGGCTGAGTTAAACAAAGACCCATACAGACTAGATAATGCTTAGACTGCTAGAAGACACTCATTTTCTCTCTCTCTGTGTCTGAAGGCCGTTTCCGACAGAAGAAAGTGTGGAGGATGAAGAAATCTATAATCACCTGGAGGACCTGATAGAGTAAGAACTCATTTGTATATCAACATACATGAACTATTAGGTTCACACCAAACAAGACACATATCAACATCTATTCAGGAAGAATGATTCATATGGTTTTCTACTCAATCTGTTAACACCTACAGCCACTATGACCACACATAGACGGGTATAGAGGGCTAAAAGTAGCCGCTTGGTTAACACTTGACGTGTGGTAAATAACCAAACTGGTCTTCACATCCGTGTAGAGCAGAACTGCAGCTCCTGTTCAGGGGCCAAATATATATGCCTTCAAATTCATAAAGCTCTCATAATATCTCTACATATATTTGTTAATACAGTCATGTGCAAAAGTCAGGGCACCCCTGGTCCAATGTTGTTTTTCTGAGTGTAAATAAGTTGACAGAACACTGTATTATGGAACTGACGTAGTTCATTCCAAATATCTGATCAAATGTCTAATCAGTATCTAATCATTTCACAACTACCACATTAAGGCATGCAAACCTGTGTTTTGCGATGAAAAAGGTGAAGAGGTCAGACACAGGGTCAGGGGGTCTGGAGGCTTTTGGTCCAGCAGGAGAAAATTTTAGCTAGAAACATTTAAGTTTAGTAACTGAAAGTATCTACTGCTAGTTAACTATGTTAACTGAAAATACCTACTGCTAACTAGGCTAACTGATAGCAACTGATAGCAGACAGTGTTGGGCCGATTCTGGTTTTCTATGTAAGTGTTGGTTGATTACTGGGTAGACGTTAGGCATGTGGGCCAGAATAGGGCCAGATCCTGGACCACTTCATACCATTTTGCCTCGTGTCTACATTTGTGGGACAATTCTGGTGTGAATATTGTGGACCGACAATGTAGTTGGGACAGATTGGGACCAGATTTGGGCTGTATTGTTTAGTTCTACTACAGTGTGTGGGCCAGATCTGGGCCGAGGACCCAGCCATATATTGGGCCAGAACAAACAAAGGATGTGGCCCACAAGTGAGTCAGACAATTTTTGCTAACTGGGTAGTTGACTATGTTAACTGAAAATACCAAACAGAATGTAGTGCGTTTAGTGGGGCATGATGACCGGTTGGTGGGGCGTTGCTGGGCCTTTATGGTAACTTTTAACAGGCTTCCCTCAGGAGAGCTTTGTAAATGGTTAAGCTAACAGACTCACAATCTGAAAAAAAAAAAAAAAAGTTTGTTTTTATTGTAATGTTACTGTTCGCTTCGAGCAAATGAATACTTACTATATTACACATAATTTCATCTGATGGATTGAGACTTTTGTGCAGTACTGTACACAGTCAGATGTTCTGCTTTTGTCATTTGGATGTTCTTTTTCCAGATGTGTCTGTATGAGCTGTTCTGTTGTGTGTTTCTCTGGAGGGCAGTGTTCCTCTATGAGTGTTTCTGGTAGTAACTCACATCAACACCCTCCTAAAACCCCCATGAGGAGAACAGATCAACACACACATGCAGACACACACATTTGATAGAGAGGACATGGTATGACGACCTAGAGGGAAATTTAATTGCTCAAATGTTGCTCTTTGATGACTCAGGAGACTTAATGATGATTTTACTAAAATGCCTTAGGACAGGGGGTCAGCAACATGCAGCTCTTTTACTGCCCTGTTGTGGCTCCACAGCAGAATTAGATTTGTGGGTAAAAATAAAATAATCCTCCTTTACAGTTTAACAATAAATGGTCTTAAACTCTGGAGTTAATGTAGAACCGCTAATTCACCCTTTAACCCTGAAGATCAGCGCAGACTGCTGGTCACCATAGCAATGCAGACAACAGTCTTGCCTAGCTAGTAGCTAACGAAACGGCAAAGAGAGAGATTTAAGATGAACATTGATAATTTGGAGATGAATGGACTTATTTGCATTTATAATCACTCCAGCTGGTTTCCTGATACGTTTAATCTGCAATGAGACACCCTAAAAAGTCTCAAGGCTGAAGTCAGTTTCTCATTCGCCAGCTTCTCATTTGAATTCTCCCGTTCCACCTTAAATGGTGCAGCAGGTACATTCTGGTGCCTCAGGCTGAGATTTAAGGTGGAACGGGAAAATTCGAACAAGAAGCTGGAGAGTGAGAAGCGACTTCAGCCTCATAAATAAATCGAATGTTGAGAGACGTTTTACGAGAAACCGTTCTACTCTTGCGGAAAAGTTTCCTGCTGGAGATGCGAGAAAAGTGGCTATAGCTGAGCTAAAGCTTAAAGCAGAGCAAAGTAAGTCTTCATTTTTTGTTTATATTATATCTTTAGCCTATACTAGAACATCAGCAGACACTGAGACATATTTACAGCCATGATGGTAAAACGTTACTTCAATAAAATGGACATAAAATATTGTGGCTCCCAAGCTGGACTGATTTCTGTTGAAAGGACAAAATGGCTCTTCTTACCATTTGGGTTGCGACCCGTGCCTTAGGAGAACAGTATTAGACAATGCAACAGGATGCCACAAGTCAGCTGGTGAAGTTCCTGCCTGGCTAGATCAGCCCCGGTCAACCGCAAGTGCTATTATTCTGAAATGGAAGTGTATAAAATGTCCTGTGCTCTGTTACGTCACTCACTACACAGCTCCAGACTGTCTCTCGAAGCAACATCAGCACGAGAACTGGAGCTTTATGAGTCGCTTTCTCTTTCCTGTGGGTTTTTTCGCTGCAGCCTGTCTCCCCACTGGAACTAAACACAGAGAGCACCTCACTCCTGTGTTAGCCTCTCTTCACTGTTTATTAAAGCACTGATTTTAAGCTTATGGTCCTTTATCAGACACCTTTATAAGAATGAAGACACTTTGGTAAACATGAAGCGTAAGAGTGTTGAAGCTAAATACACAGAGAGCATTTGTACATGCAGTCATATACAAAAGTGTTAACCCCCCCCGGTCACATGACACACGTTTTGTTGATTTTTTAAGTGAAAATAAGTTAAAACATCTCTACACAGGACTTAAGTATGGCATTTTTATGCATATTTTAGTGCGAAATTTCTATTTATTCACTGAATTTAATATAACAGAAAAAATAAAACATACAATATAAAGTGTGCCATGACTTTTACTGCTAGTTATGTTATGACTGTTTCTGCTGGTTAACTATGTTAACCAAAAATATCTGCTGCTATGTAGTTATGTTAATGTCTACATAAAATATGAAATGTGCCATGACTTCTGCACAGGCCATATTTAATGTTTCATTTTTTCCCCAATACGTTAAATTCAGCAAATAAACAGAAATTGTGCATTAAAATGTGCAGAAGTCATTTGACCGAAGGTGCCCAAACTTTTGCATTTGACTGGATGATCACTAAACTTTTGAAGGGATTTTTCTTAGTTATCTGAGAAGTAGCAGAAAATCAAACATCTCTCTGGAAAATTCAGACGTGTACAGTGTTTCCTCAGACTTTTGAAGGACTGTTAACGTTCTGAGGTATTAAGTTGGGATCTTCTGCGTGTGTTGCAGTGAGAACGGTGTGGACGACGAGGAGGACCTGTATGACTGTGTGTATGATGATGATGATGGTGGCGAGGTGTATGAAGACCTGATGAAGACTGAGGCTGGAGCTCCACCAGTAAGTCAAAAACAATCTCTTTACACCACGGATCAAACTAGTGTACACTAACTCTCCTCCTGAAGATCTACAGAGCTTCGTTCAGAGCTCCCAACATAATGCTCATTATAAAACGAATAGTTCCGCTCCTCAAATCTGATTGGCTGAGCGGCGTTGTATATATACGCACACCTATGACGCCTCACGGCAACTGAACTCTGTATCACTGCGCCACAGCATGAAAAACCCTTGTGCTGTCAGTGGATTAATCTTTGACTCTCGTGCTGCTCACATGGACCACCGAGTATATCGATGAAGTAAGAACCTGTTTTCTGTTTAAACTGAGGGGCTGGTGTTCTTATCTAGAACTAGGCTGGTCAGCTGAAAACAGCCTAAAGAGCTCCATTATTAATATCACAGGCTTGAATTAAAGCACTTACAGTGTGATTCACTGTAAAACGGCAGTATAAAAGTCTAAAAATGTAATTTGAACGTTTTACACGCTTCGAATGTCCGTGCTTTCATACAGAAGTCATGTCAAACCCAGACTGAATCCCAAACGGCTCCCTAAATAGTGTTCTAGATATGAAAGTTCAGAAATTCTAGCCTCTACAGCCAAACAGTGCATCGTGTATCGAGTGTGGATGAGTCTGAGTCCCAAACGACTGTTTCTTAGCTGTATTTTGCTCTGTTGGGCTGCAGGATCCAGTATTAAACTCCTACGTAGTGCACTATGTAGGGAGCAGGGAGCTGTTTGAGATTCAGCCCCAGTGTGAGAAGAGGGCGCCGCTGGATTGGTGCTAATTAAGACTCGTGGTGATGATTTGGTGACCAACAAGTACTTATAAAGTGAAGGTTTTGCATTAAACTGTGCTGTGTTATGTTAAATTATCCTCTGAAAAATGATGTATTTTATCATCTTTTATGTTGGCCACCAATTTAAAAAAGTTCGGGTAAGAACACGATGCCTCACTAATAAGAGTCCCTGGGCAGGACTCCTAACCCTACATTCACGTACCTCTGTAACATGATTAAAGCAAATGTGACATTAGCAGCTAAACAGATATAGTACTGACGCATAATAAAGCAATAAGCCATGAGGGGCTGTGCGTTACTGCGATTTTATCACAGGGAAGGGTGCTCTCTCTCCCTCTCTCTCTCTCTCTCTCTCTCTCTCTCTCTCTGTATACTCACTCTCTGTTTCTGCTCTCTCTCTTTCTGTACTCTCTCTCTCTCTCGCTGTATACTCACTCTCTGTTTCTGCTCTCTCTCTCTCTGTACTTTCTCTCTCTCTGTACTTTCTCTCTCTCTCTCTCTCTCTCTCTCTCTCTCTCTGTATACTCACTCTCTGTTTCTGCTCTCTCTCTCTCTGTACTTTCTCTCTCTCTGTACTTTCTCTCTCTCTGTACTTTCTCTCTCTCTCTCTCTCTCTCTCTCTCTCTGTATACTCACTCTCTGTTTCTGCTCTCTCTCTCTCTGTACTTTCTCTCTCTCTCTCTCTCTCTCTGTACTTTCTCTCTCTCTGTACTTTCTCTCTCTCTCTCTCTCTCTCTCTCTCTCTCTCTCTCTGTATACTCACTCTCTGTTTCTGCTCTCTCTCTCTCTGTACTTTCTCTCTCTCTCTCTCTCTCTCTCTGTATACTCACTCTCTGTTTCTGCTCTCTCTCTCTCTCTCTCTCTCTCTCTCTCTCTCTCTCTGTGTATACTCACTCTATGTTTCTGCTCTCTCTCTCTCTCTCTCTGTATACTCACTCTCTGTTTCTGCTCTCTCTCTCTCTCTCTCTCTCTCTGTATACTCACTCTCTGTTTCTGCTCTCTCTCTCTCTCTCTCTCTCTGTACTTTCTCTCTCTCTCTCTCTCTCTCTCTCTCTCTCTCTGTATACTCACTCTATGTTTCTGCTCTCTCTCTCTGTCTCAATCTTTCTCTTTGTCTCTCTCTCTTTCTCTCCTTCTCTCTCTCTTTGTATTCTCTGTCTCTCTGCATTTTCTCTCTCTCTGTACTCTATGTCTCTCTCTCCCTCTCTCTCTCTCTCTCTCTCTGTAATGGGAGGTAATGGGAGTCAGGTCTGTATCTGAGGCCGTGTGTGTGTGTGTGTGTGTGTGTGTGTGTGTGTGTGTGTGTGAGTGTAGAAGCAGGCCGAGACGGACATCAGGAGCTGCTGTCTGGCGGAGATCAGACAGACGGAGGAGAAGTACACAGAGACACTCGAGTCCATCGAGAAGGTAAAGAGCCGCCTGCAGCGTCGTGTGACCTTCACGGCACACATGCAGCCTCATAACCTTCACTCTTTAAAGTAGAACTCCTGTCCACACGAGACCGGGTTACTCTTTCTCTTACAGTGCCCATAGTTCTAGATAATAACCAGGTAAGAGTGAGGTACAAACTAGAAAATTATTTCGGGTAACATGATAGTAAGTTTCAATACAGTCTAACTAAATTGCACAGAAATGCCATATAGGTTCTAGATACTATTGGAGTAAGTATGTGGTACGAACTCCATGGTAAAAAGACTGTACATGAATAAAGTACAGACTCTTATGCAGTCTGTAGCTGTAATAACTTAGCTATAAGCTAAACAGAATCTGGGCTGTAAAAGAAAGCAGTGATTCTCTCTGCTGTTTTACTTACTTTACACTTTTACACTTTACTTACTTTACACCATATAACTGTCCCAGAGGAGGAGTTTCTGATTGAGTTTCCTGCTTAAACGTGTGACATTACAGTGAAATTTACAGTGAGTATGTTTGTATCAGCCACCTTATTACTCCAAATAATCATGAGGTATTTTCTGATATCTTTCATCAGTTTAATAGCTAGAACCTGTTTGGCATTTCAGGGTAAATTAGTTAACTGTTTTGGTACTTATCATCATTTAACCCAAAATATTTACACAGCACTTTAAAGATTGTGCCTCACTCTTGCTCAGTTAATGTCTAGAACCTGTTTGGCATTTTAGTGTGATTTAGTTAAACTGTCTTGGAATTTACAGTCACATTCCCCCAATATTATTTAGTACTTTGGATTCTGTACATAACATTTACCTGCACTGTTAGAAATAAAGGTTCTGTGCTGGTACGTTTTTTGTTCATCAAGGTACAAACAGTGTAAATGTTCCCTCAAAGGTACTACAGTGGTTTTAAGGTCTGATTGTGAACCTTAAATACGTTTTTCTAGGTGAAAAGTTCGCAGTTGTACCTTTTCATAACCGAATGTTTTAAAACAGAACAGTAAAATAAAAGCCTGGAGACGAGACGGGGTGTGTGGAGTCAGTACAGCTTAGAACATATCATTTCAGTGGATTATGGTTCAGTTATGTTCCCTGACTAAAGATACTGAGATGGACACTTGAGGGAACCACCCCAGTGACAAGAGGGGCACTGCCCCAGTGACAGATTAGTACCTTTATTTCTGAGAGTGTGGTAATACCTAGATTTTAGAGGATTTGCTCAGTATATATCTAGAACATGTTTGTCATTTCAGTGTAATTTAGTTAAACTGTCTCGAAACTTACCATTATGTTCCCCAGTACTTTGGAATCTGTATGTCACATTTATCTGGTAATACCTAGATTTTAGAGGACTTGCTCAGTTGATATCTAGAACATATATGTCATTTCAGTGAAATTCAAGTAAATATTCTTACAACTGACAAGTCTTCCCAAATTATCTAGTACTGAATGTCACACTTACACACAAGCATATATATATATGTATGCATATGTGTGTATCTATATATATATATATATATATATATACACACACACACACACACACACACATATATATATATATATATGTATATATATATATATATTTTTTTTTTCAATATATATATATATATTGAAATATTGATATCAGTATAGAAAGGTTTTAAGCCCAATTATGTACATTGTATTACAACAACATCTACACTGAACATTGAGGAACCAATAATAAAATACTCAGAACATTCTAACAAAACTAGAACACTGCCAGTGAGTGATTCATTTAAAAGGAATGATGAAATAGTAAGTATTATTTTTTTATATTTAAAAATGATGGTTCTATCAGGGTTCTTTAGTAAAGAAATTGGCTCTATATAGAACCATGAACACTGAAAGAACCCCCTGCATGATTAAAGGGTTCTTTGCAGCATGAAGAACCCCTTCAGACTGGTGGAGAATGTGTTGTAGATGGTTTTTATGGAAGCTTTTTGAAAAGGGTTCTATATAGCACCATGTTGTGGTCTTCTATTGTTAAGATGTTAAGCTTGTAATTGTAGAAGAACCCTGTTCGGTGTTATATAGAACCATTTTGGAACCCTTGAGGAACCTTAATTTTAAAGTGCGTACCCTGCTGTTGCTTTTTTCCCTGCCGTCCTCAGTTCTTCATGCGGCCGCTGGAGCAGTTCCTCCCGGCGGTGGAGATCGAGAAGGTGTTCGTCAACATTCCAGTGAGTCTGGAGGAGCCGGAGCTCCACTGTAGTAGCTCAGTCATTAATACTGTGCAGCCACTGATTAGCAGATGCTGTATATGCTAGCAGAGTCATGGTCATTAGGTTGCATTTATCATGTCAGATTAAACTGCTCCGTACTGGGTTCTCACTGTCCTGACCGTACGCCCTCTGCTGTTGGGAACAGGACCTGGTGAAGGTGCACAAAAGCCTTCTGCAGGAGGTCCAGAACTCCATCAATCACCAAAACTCCAGCAACCTCCACCAAATCTTCATGGATTACAAGGAGAGGTGAGCTTTGACTCTCCTTACTGAGGGATATGTTTATATTGTTGTCATATCTTCCTTCAGCCCAGCTTCCATATTATGATCGATTCATTGATTATTAATTAATTCTTTCATTTTCTTTAAGCAGAATTGAGTAAATATTGCTTTACATTGATGATCAACCACATTACAGAAACTTCCTGTCTTTTGTCCGCTTTATTAGAAACACCCACCTTGTTCTTCTACTCACTGGCCACTTTATTAGAAACACCTACCTTGTACTTCTACTTACTGGCCACTTTATTAGAAACACCTACCTTGTGCTTTCTCTAACTGGCCACTTTATTGGAAACATCTACTCTGTCCTTCCACTCACTGGCCACTTTATTAGAAACACCTACCTTGTGCTTCCACTCACTGGCCAATATATTAGAAACACCTACTTCACTGGCCACTTTATTAGAAACGCCTACCTTGTACTTCTACTTACTGGCCACTTTATTAGAAACACCTACCTTGTACTTCTACTTACTGGCCACTTTATTAGAAACATCTACTCTGTCCTTCCACTCTCTGGCCACTTTATTAGAAACACCTACCTTGTGCTTTCTCTAACTGGCCACTTTATTGGAAACATCTACTCTGTCCTTCCACTCACTGGCCACTTTATCAGAAACACCTACCTTGTGCTTCCACTCACTGGCCAATATATTAGAAACACCTACTTCACTGGCCACTTTATTAGAAACACCTACCTTGTACTTCTACTTACTGGCCACTTTATTAGAAACACCTACCTTGTACTTCTACTTACTGGCCACTTTATTAGAAACATCTACTCTGTCCTTCCACTCTCTGGCCACTTTATTAGAAACACCTACCTTGTGCTTCCACTCATCTTTCTTTAACCAGAACTGAGTACATATTGCTTTACATTAATGATTTTTCACAAATGAATATTACAGAAACAAATCTGATCTTGATTTAGGAGACTTATCTTACAGCATCTTATCTCAAGTTAGGAAATCTTAACCTACTCGATCGAAGTTGACAATCAACTGTTATATCTGTTAGCTAGTATCCAACCATACACGCACAGCTGAAACGTAAACACGTAATCAAAATAATGATAAAATGTAATTACCATTACTGATGTAATGAAGTTCAAAACTAAAGTGCAATAAACTGAACATTAATAATGTTGTGAGAGCGCCCCCTGCTGTTTATCAGAGCGTTGCCGCTCCCCAGTTTCAGTCTCCATTTCCCAAACGCTTTAGCCGAGCGCGCTAACGTTACTCCTCCTAATAAACAGACACACGTTCAGCTCCGTCTCCTCATTATTCACCACCATCACTGTAATATTTCATCATCAACATTAACACACGAAGGTGATCAGAGGGACGGTGGAGATCGAGTCTGCAGCGTCTGAGATCTTTAAAATGCAGAGTTAGAAAAGAAAATCATCTCACAGTGAAAGCAGCGTTTTACAGTAGAAATAAATGGAGCTCATTATGCTGGTAGTGAACTATGCTGCTGACTC